AAAGAAAAAAATAAAACCGGTCGGGTCAGGTTGGCTCGAGGTGAAGTCTTGAGGAGACTTCACCCAGCTGACCCCGAATCTGGGAAAAGCAGGCAAGCGGGGAAAAGGGTGGGGGGCAGGTTCCCCAGTACTCCCTGGCTTTCCCACCAGCTGCAACCTGCCTTCCAGCCGGGATGGGAGCTCGTGCCAGTTCCCCAAAAAAGCGCCTGTGGGGGGCAGAGGGTTACCTTCAGCCGGCCGGGTGCCTCTGTCGGAGCCCGCACCCTCGTGGCCCATCCTTGGCCTTCTCCTGCTTCCCAAGCTTCCTCACACCTCCCCCCTTTCCTCCTCAGCCTGCACCTTTAGCCCATCCTGGGCCGGGACGCCGGAGGCCCCCAGGAGGCCTCGAGGGAAGAGGGGGGCTGATGTCAGTCTCAGAGAGGACACGGGGGAAATCAGGATCTGGAGGAGCCAGGCGGCCCCGCCAGGCCAGCAGCCGCTCCTGCCAGGCCTCAGAGACACACCTGTGCTGACATGGGTCTTGCTTCCTTGAAGTGTATGTGCATGTGCGTGTGTGGGTGTGTGTGTGCAGACGTGTGTGTGCACATGGGTATGGGTGTAGGTGCATCTGCTGAGAAGAAAACAGGAGGAAGGGAGAGGCCTAGGAGTGGGGGTGCAAGTCTAGAAGGCAGGAGAGTGGGGTCCCCCACCTCCACCCCAGCTCAGAGAGCAAGCTTCATGCAGGGCCCCAGATACCGTGCGTGCGGGGGCTGCTGTTCCGGGGATAGCCGGGACAGGTGGCATCCTGGGCACTGCGGGCCTCGTGCCCTTCCTCCTAGGGGCCCTCCTGGTGGTCTTGCCTGAGGGCCAACCCCTCCCTGACTGTTAGGACCAGAGTGTGAAGTGAGATATAAATATGTATACATATATAAATATATTTTTAATTACGTGTCGTGTCACGGTGGCTCCAGACGTGGTTTGCCTAGTTTACCCCATTGCTCGAAAGCGCTTCCTGGCCAATCCGAGAAACAGTTTCAGCTGTTTTTTTCAAAAACAGGTTGCTGCTACTTTTTTCAGACGTGGAAGGAAAACGTTTAAAAAGGAATCATTTTTTAAGGAAATAACATTAAAGGCTAAAACCTGAGACTCTGAAGCAGCTTCCCAGGAGAGACAATTCAGACAGGAACTGGGGGGCCGCGTGGGCACCCCACAGACCCCCCTGCCCAGGCCAGGCCCCCCCTCTGCTGTGTGAGAAGGCCATGTCCAAGTTGACCTCTGAATGTATTTGAAGGGGCAAAACTGGGTATTGCATTTCTAGGGCTGGCGTGGTTCTCCCCACGGGCCCGTGGCTTTCTCGGCGCTCAGAGGCCGAGTCCGGCCGTCCGGTGTGGATTCTGTCCGTCTCCCCTGCCATCAAGGCGAGGCTGTCATTGGTCTCCTCCCGGGCAGCCAGCCTGCTCGCCGCAGCCTTGCTCCCCTCGGCCTTGTGGCTTTGCTGAGCTCTGGGACCGCTGCCCGGAGAAGGCTCCTCACCCCCCCGCCCTGGGCCCACCATCCTCAGTGAGGAGTGCACCTCCAAACCCAGTTCCGTCTGTTCGTCTGTAAACCTTCAAGGTCTGGGGATCGTCCTGTCCATCCATGTAAATGTAAATGTTGGCCGAATCGGTATTTATTCTAATTTTTATTTTATTTTATTTTTCTCCGGGGGCATGGGGAGGGGGTGTGGGAAATGTACCACTGATCACGCCCTGGGCAGCTGCAGGGGGCGGGCCCAGACGGCCAGGCCTGGAGGCCGCCCCGGACGCCAAGCCCCCGTCTCCTCTGGCCTCAGAAACCAGCCCAGGCTCCTCAGATGGCAGGTTCGGGGCCCCGTGGAGGCCTGGCTCCCAGCTGCTGGGCAACCTCTGGCCGGGCCTGTGAGGGTGCAGACCCGAGAGGAGACGGCCTTCCTCCACTGGGGACGGTGCGCAGAGGGCTGCCCGCCTCCCTCGTGGGAGCCAGCGGGAGCCTGGGCGGTGGGACCTGCGGCCTGGGCGGGGCCTGGGCTTCCGCCAACGCTGCAGCGGATCCTGCTCACGCAACACCTCCCCTCCCTCGGTGTGCCCTGCTTTCCAGCTGAACCCAAACTACGAGTGGGTTTAAAAAATAAACGGCACCGAAAAACAAGAATGCCCTGCGTCCGTGTTCTTTGTGACTTGAGCAAAGGAAATCTCTCCCAAAAGCGTTTGTGCCTCGGCTGGTGCCTCTCCTGGGGGAGCCTCTACCCAGGCGGTGAGCTAATAAGAGGGTTCCCCACCGTTCGGCCTCCTCGGGGAGCAGGGGCGGGGTCTGGGGCCCGGGGAAGATTGTGAAGGAGGGACCTCGGAGGACATGGGGTAGGGGACGAGGGCCCCCATACTGGGAACTGTGGCCTGTCTAAGGGGCAGGATGAGACCAGTCCTGCAGAAAACAGCGATCTGGTTTGCTGCCTCTTTAACCAGCCCCCCCAACACCTCCCTTCCTTGGAATGTCACCGTGCATTTGGCAGTGACTCTTAAGACTGGGGACTGTGGCGTCTGAAAGTCAGCAGCAAGTGGCTGTCCTGTCCCAGGGGCTCAATCAGTCTTCCACCAAAGGGGCCCAGTGGTTCATTTTCCTGTGATGACATGTCCCTTGTTTTGCACCATTCCTCCCAGGGTGAGACCCTGGTGACACTGCCGCCTGGGAACACGTCCCCCTCGGGGGTTCGTTCTGGCTAGAAGGTGCCAGGCTTTCCCTCCTCAGGTGGCGACCAGCCTCTCCCCTCTACAGGTACCTGGCCCAGGTGGCGGCCAGGTCAGCCCAGGAGCTGGCGAGGGCACCTTGAGATTGGTCACTGCCCAGCACTGAGTCCCATGACACTGAGCAGAGACCACCTGTTAGGCCCTGGCTGGTGTGGCTCAGCGGGTTGGGCATCATCTGTGAACCCAGGTCTCTGGTTTGATTCCCGGGCAGGGCGCATACCCAAGTTGTGGGTTCGATTCCCAGGATCGTGCAGGAAGCAGACGATTGATATTTCTCTCATCCATGTTTCTCTCCCTCTCCCTCTCCCAAAAAAAATCAATTTTTTTAAAAAGAACGCACAGGTTGGTAGACATTTAAATTAAACATTTGAGATATTTTGTCAAGACAGTTTTTTACAAAATGCAGAGGAGGAGCAGAAAGCAGCGGTGAAAATGAAAGGTGTTTAAAGGTAAGCGAGAGGGTGGGGAGGGGGAGATCTTACCGAACAGTATTCACCAAAGGAGAGAGGAGGTTTTTCTGGGTGGCTTCGTCCTGGTTCCAGAAGGTTCTAAAGTACTGAAAACGATGAAATATACCATCCAAAGGACAATGTTTCTCTCCTGCCTTTCACTGCCACCTCTGCTGACACGAGTTGCCTGTCCTTCTGAGGACGGGTTAGATTGGCACAGGGGTCTGTCGGAGGGAGGGGAAGCGAGTTTTGAATGAATAAACTAGAAAGTACACACACGTGTGCTCAAACACACGCCTTGTAAGGGCCTTCGTCCCACGGCAGAAAAAGGAGGGGTTGAGAAAGTGAAGGGAAAGAGCTCCTGGCGAGTATGAACGGCCTCCTCCCCACAGCTCCCCAGTGGCCTCAGGCCTTCCAGACGCTTCCGGTTCAATGGAGGCAGATGTGTACCTTTGATTCCCATTTCACAAATGAGAAAACAGACACGACCGACCCAGAGCCGAAGGCCGGTCCGTGGAACCGTCGGGCTGGACAGCCAAGTGCCCCTTCCCCCAGCCCAGAAGGTGAGCGTGTCCTCAGCCTCTCCCCTTCGGCCGCTCCCCAGGGAGCCGGCCAGTCCTGCCAACCAGACGGACGGAGCAGCCAGCTGCCCCCTGAGACTGCCATGGCTGGCTGCTTGGTGCTCCCCCGAGTCAGTGAAAGTAGGAGCGTGATGAAATAGCCCAATCGAGGGATTTCGGTGGGGTGAGGAGGAGGAGCGATGTTGCAAAGTTCCACGCTGGTCTGTAAAAGGACCCGTTGCTGAATGTGCAACTGGGCTCAGGTGGGGGGAGGTGAGGGAGACCCTCCTAGGAGGCATATCAAAGGTGGCATCAATATGCAAACTGCACGGGAACTGTTCCTGA